CCCATTAATAGTTAATATTATGAAATATTTGCTCTAAGTTATGAGCTGTTTTCAATACCCTATGCCATTCTATTTAATCCCCATAATACTTCTATGAATTATTAGCATCACTTATTACTTAAAATTAAGGAGGTTGACAATTTTGTCTAAGATCTTACACTTGGTATGGGAAGACCAGTGTCTTAAATTCAATTCTGATTGTCATCAAAGTTCATGAACTTTATCCCTGCTATTCTGATACTACCTGGTGCATAAGAAATTACTGATAAGAATAAAAACAAATCATATATGTTATGTTAGGGATTTGGGAAAAAGCTTAAAAATTTTCTGGGTAGGTAAGAAACTAGTCAGAGATTACTTAAAACAATTGGATTTCTTATGAACAAGGATGTATGAACCTATTTAAATCTCTAGCAATAGAACAATTTCCTACTTATATTTTCCTTAATATAAATATTTTTACTATTAATTCCATAAGCATTTTTGTATACACACAACATTGCAGGCCCCGTTCCATGCTAATTGTTAGATAAAACCAAATAAAATATAGTCTACCCTTTGCACTGAGGTTATGTCAGGTCTTGTGGTTATTATAGTATCACAGGAAGTAGCCTAGGCCTCTGAGGCTCTGATAATTTTGCTGTAAATCAGACTAACTGTTAGCTATCGTAAGCCAATCTGTAATGATACTAACCCCAAGTGTATGATTTCTAATCATTTGCAGTAAGTGAAGTGCTTGATTCTAGAGCTGGGGCAAGAAAGACACAAGATGAGTCTGGCATATTTTATCATCAAGGAAAAATGAAAATGCTAAAAAAATGATGGGACATATCACAACAACACAACAGTCAGAATGAAGTCACCCCACTGGCCAAATAAGTGATGATTTGAGCATCAAAATAATTAGAACAGTAATGAACTATAATAATTTTTAAAAGTTAGGAATCCATAAGTCTATGTCATAATACATAGATAAATAAACAAATAAATAACAGGGGGAAATGAGGTTCTTGTTGACAGCATAATGCCAAGTGCTAATTGGTGATAGTAAAAGGAGTACTTCAGCTTGAAATATCCTCTTTGATGATTATTAGGGTAAAGATTGGTTCACAAAAGAATCACTGGTAATGCTAAATCTAAGTGTAAGGTAGACAAGTAGCAGATATTTGTATGTTATGATCTTAAAATTGTCCCCTCCTGCTTATTGGTAGCATAGGGCAAGAAAAAATAGCTACACAGTACAGAAATCAGACAACATCTTGTTGGGTAATGGAAATTAACATAAAAAATAAGGAGCAGATGGATATCCTGTGCCTCTAGATATCATTCCTTGAGAAGGTTACAACTTCATTTATTTATTTCCAGATGGGCACAACTAGAATGCAACTGTGAAGAAACGAGCCAAACCCAAAATGAGAAATATTCTGTTTTAAATAAAGGGTACACTCATTGTTAAAAAATAGCAATGTTCAGTAATGACAGAGAAAGATAAAGGATTAGTCCCCAGGCTAAAGTGATATGACAGCTACATACAAAACTTGGATTCTGTAATAGAGAAAAAAGAATTCCATAAAGGACACTATTCGATCACTTGCCAGAATTGGAAGATGGATAGCAGTGGAATACAAGTATAATGACAATGTTAGACATATGAACATCTGTGGTTATGTAATAAATGTCCTAATTCTTCAGAAATGCACACTGAAATAACTGGGGAGAAGAGAGCATGATAAATACAGGTTGCTTTCAAACAATTCAATGAAAAGATATAATACATGTATTTTTTATACAGATTCTACACATAACAAATGGTGAAGCAAATGGGAAAAATGATCATTAATGAAAATTTTGATTAGCGCTTCAGAGTCCACAGATACAGAGGGCCCACTGTATGCGCTGATCTTATAAGTCCCCCATTTTATATAGCGGACTTAAGCATCTGCAAATTTTGGTGTCTGGGGGTGATGGTGGTCCCGGAACCAATGCTCCTTTTATAACCAAGGAACAAGTTAAGTTTTGAGGAAATAAAAATAATCAGTATTGAAAATATAATACGTGTATTTTTCTACATATTCTACACATAGCAAATGATGAAGCAAATGGGAAAAATGATCATGAATGAAACTGAATAAAGGATATAGTGTGTTCTTTAAATGATACTGCGATAATTTTTAAATATAAATTTGAAATTAATCTCTGACTATAGACTAGAAAAAATAGCAAGAAATCACTGGTATACGTAAACTCTAAGGAAACTCATATATCCAAGACAGTTCTCTGGAGAGATGAGTTTTAGGAAAATGCACTGAGTTGTTTGAACTAAGAAGTGAAAGAGCAACTCCAATGGCCTCAGGTGATTAATGTCTGCGATGTTGTGGAACACACAACCTAAGTTTTCTGTAGATTAGGGAGAAGCTCTGTGGAGTTATCATTCTGTTACTACATATTTCTTGTTAATTTTAAAAATAAAAATAGAGCATGAATGAGTTGGCAAAAATTACCAAAGGTATTGGTAAAAAGATCGCAATAAATCACACAGGTGCAAAAACTAGACATCTCTTCCCATGTTGACAGGGAGGACAGTTGACCCTGGAACAGCAAGGGTTTGAACTGCACGGTTCCATTTATATGTGGATTTTTGTCAATAAGTTCCCTGTACTAATTTTGATGAGTGCTTCAGAGTCCACAGATACAGAGGGCCCACTATCCGCATGGATCTAGGCTATTTTACAGAGGGCCTGAAACTTTTGTTGCTGTCAGGGTGGGGGGTGGGGTCCTAGAATCAATACCCCTAAATAACCAAAGGATAAGTTAAGTTTTGAGGGAGTAAAAATTTATAAGTGGATTTTGGGATGCACAGTTCCAGCTCCTCTAACCTCTGCATTGTTCAAGGATCAACTGTGTATCTGTTTTTAACACTAAACTTTGCTCATATGGTGACTTCTGTTTTGAGCTACATTTCTTTCATGAAATAGCAAAATTTAAAAAAAAGAGAATATACAAAATATTGATATTTCTTAGGTAAAACATTAACATATCTGAATTTTACAATTTAGCATTCAAATATAAATATATAAATGAACAAAAAGCTAGTAGAATTATCAGGCATGTTCCTTAAAGCGGGAACTCCACAGGTCTGCACATTTAAATATAGATAGTTAACAAACTATAATTTGAAAATATTGGAAGCATTTATAAAAATATCAGCCATGTCTAGCTATTTATTGGATAATAGTTGATACTTATGCTAATTTTTCTAATTTGCTCTGTATGGCAGGATCTGGAAAACAAATCTATGTACAGTTTAACTTATAAACCCAATCTGTCTTCTTTCAGCTTCATGATGTTATCCATTATCATTATTCTAATAACTTCACTAACCAATATTCATGCTATTTAATTAAACTAAAATGTACCCAAGCACTTTAAAAGGAAGACTATGCATAATAACAAGCACTGCAAAGCAGGAGAGTTAAATCCAACATATTAATCTTAAATTGTATAAAGATGGAGAGTCTGTGCCTCGTTCTTAGAAAAAAAATATATTACCATATCAGATTTAAATCCCTGGAAAGATGATTAAGAATCAGTCATACATTTGCATATCATCTTATACTTTATAAAGCACGTTTAGGCCTAGTGTCTATTTGCGGTCTCACAATAGCCAGGGATCATTATCATTTGATTTTGTAAAGTAGGAAACTAGCTGAGAATAACCGAGGCGAAGCGATTGGCGCTAGCATTGGTTGCACTGATGACTAGGGAATTGGCCATAGGAACACATTTATCCCAACTGTTAGTCCTGCATTTGTCTCACACTCCACGGAGAGCCCTGTCACTAATTCAGTGCTCACATGCCAGTTTTTATGATCCTGTAGCCACTCTCAGGAGTGAAGTGTTTGCAGTCAAGAGTGCACTCATGCTTCAGAAACATTATAGAGGCCATAATGCATATCGTATAAGTGTGTACTGCTGTTATATTGATTTCCTTCTCACATTAATAGTAATACTAAGCATATGATGTGAGTAAGTCTCATCAGACCTACTGCATAAATGAGGAAACTGAAAGACACTTAAGGATAAGTGATATTAAAGATAGCATTAGCAGATCAAATAGCTGTTCCAGCTGTCCTCTTCCTATGCCTCTATAAAATGTGTCTTTCTGATTTCTTTAAAAGCATTTTCATCACAATAGCCTTGTTGAAACTATTTCCACTAAAAATATAGAACAAATAAACATCAATTTTCATTATCTGAAATGTTGTGGCATCCTGCTCATTAAAAGCACCGCCTTCACGTCCATGGTAAATTTAAAGCTATATAGTTCAAATGTTAAAATCGGACACAAGTTGATGATTCTGTTAGAGTCGCTGCTGTGAAAACAGCAGTGTTTTGATGATTATCCTCAGTTTCCTCGGGGGAACTTCCCCTCTTCATGCCACGCCCCTTAATTCCACAGAGGTACATGGTCTTGTACAAGTCACTTAAACTCTTGGGTTTTAAGATCCCTTCATCACTGAAAATGTAATTCTAACTACCAGATCCTTGATTCTGAACTGCATTTTCAAATTAGACTCAGCAACCTCATAGTTTGTATAATGTGATTTCCCCCTGATTCCCTTAGCCGTTCATAATGGCCTATTAACATGTGCATGTGGACAGAATAAAAAGCTTTACACATGTCAACGGAGAGATTTCACTTGGAATATTTCCATTTGGGCCTTTTGTCTATTGATGTGCAATTCTCCAGGATACTAGGATGAAAATAACCTTGACTAAGAATCATGAGACACGGGTTCTATTCCAGGCTCTGACAGGAAATGTTCATTTAACTTTTGTGAGCGACAGCATATTTAGGTATAAAGAATAAGTATAAAAATACGCGTCCTGCCTACCTCATGAATAAGATGTAAGAGAATAAATTGACTCAAGTTTGGAACAAGTGAGGTTAAAGGAGAATAGTGAACAGCACAAACAACACTGGCATAGTTCTGCTTTACCTGACGGGGAGATGTGCCGCCAAGAAATGGTAGGCTCTGGTTTCCCAGTGGCCAAACAAATTAGGGTGACATTGGTTCCTTCATTGATGGTCATATCACTTGAGATGTCATATATCTTCGGAGGAACTGAAATGGTAAAACATGCAGTGGTCAGAAAAAAATATATAAAATTCTGTTGAGCTATATATGATAACTCCATGATCTCATGCACTAAAGCTGGGTGGTGGAATGCACTTATGGCCTATGATCATGATCAGTACCCCAAAGATAGATTCTCTAGCTCCTCAAGACTCTCCTAGAGTTTTCTTTGTTAGTTGGTTAGTTTTATTTTTTCTAAATTTTAGATGTGTAATATTTAATAACAAAAATATTTAAGTGTTGCTTAAATTAAAGTTTTATTGTGGATATTTTTTATTGTTGTTGTTAAGCCTCACCCAAGGATATTCTTTTTCCATTGATTTTCAGACAGAGTGTGAGGGAGGAGAGAGAGAGAGAGAGAGAGAGAGAGAGAGAGAGAGAGAGAGAGAAACATTGATGTGAGAGAAACACGTCCACTACTAGCCTTTCACATATGTCCAAACCAGGGCTAGGGATCGAGTCTGCAACCAAGGCATGTGCCCTTGAACAGATTGAATCCATGACACTTCTGTCCACAGGCCAACGCTTTAACCACTGAGCAGAAACCGATAGGGTTATTGCGGATATTTTGTATTAAATAAACTGGAATATTCATAATCAATCTGTTCTATCCATGAATCTTCACCATAATGATGGTTTTCTTGTTGAAAAGAGTAAAAAAATTGGAAATTTAGAAGAAACTTAAGCTAACACAGTTGTGCCTACATCTTGATTCAAAAGCTGAGTAAGGTAAAAACATGTGCAGGACTGAGAAGTAAGATTCCGTGTTCTCAAAGGCATTTTGGGCCTCAATTTTCGATCTGCTAACTAGTAGGGCTGGAGATTGCCAGCATTTATGTTCTAAGGGACACTATTACTAGGGGCTGTGACACTTGTGTTCCGCAAGAGTTTTCTTGTCAGTGATGGCTGGAAGCCACTGGTTGAAACATTTCTTCACTTTTGGATTTCTTAGAGCCTCTGTTATGCCCACTGTACCTCTCAAGAGTAAAGGGGAAAATATTATGTTGTATTTTTTTTATTGTCCCTGATGTTTTGGACTATGGGAGCTTTTATCCCAGCAGCATTTGGTGAAAAGTTTACAGACCATGGAATACAAGTTGGGAAAGTTGGATAGAAAAATACTTAAATTAACTTCCTGGATTAAAATGTCCATCACTCTCTCAAATACCAAATGGTCTCATTTAAACCTCAAACAACATGGCTATGAATCCTGGGTCCTCGACTGGCTAGTGAGTTATCTAAGGAAGTTACTTAATGTATCTCAGACTCAGTGTCTTCATCTGAAACTTGGAGGTAATAATAAAAACCCCATGTAGCTGCTGGGAGCATTCTATAAGTCAATACATGTTAAAGGACTTAGAAAAGTACTTGACATTGTTAGCTACTATTTTTAGATGCCTTAAAAGACATATCATATTGTATTTAATTTCAGTACTGCCCTTTTTCCATGCCTTAAACTGCTCTCAGAACTTCATCATTTGGTAGTGTATGACTGGCTTATAATACACATTTTGGTTTACTATATAAAAATTATAGTGTACTAAGAGAAACATTCACTGGTTGCCTCCCAATGGCAATTAGATACCTTGATAACTATTAGAAAAACATTCTTTTTTTTTACTGAAATATTTTAATTGTTAGAGTTTCTTCATGCAAGAGATATTTAGACAGTTATTTAAAAAAATAGTAACTAAAATTTATCGTAAGGATAAATTAAATTACCTATCCTGTGAATATCATCTTTGATTTTTTAAATGAAATCATAACTCTGCTATAAGAAAAATCTAAGATAATTATTATGGGTGTAAAGCATTTGATTATATGTAACTGTTGCTATGATTGAAGAAGATGCTTATTCTTAAGTGATATACTATTGTAACTGTTTCTAAATGACATATTTTTAATGAGCATTTAAAACATGCTATCATTAAGCTCTTCAGGCAAATAAAAAAAAAATAAAAAACCATTTTAAACAGGTACTCTTTTTAGCTTAAATGACACAGAACAAAAATATAGACATTAAGATACTATGGCCAGAAAATAGGAAAAAAATGTGAATTATCTATTACTGGTGAACAGGAGAGTTAATAAAAATAAAGTTACAACATTAAATAGGAATACCATTAGCTATGTGGATGTAGGTATTAATTTAATATGGCAAACTATGAAATACAAGTGTAAATATACAATATTTATATATGTGAGAATATACAAATATACACAAATGCACATACAAATACATATATACTAATGCACACTATTAATAAAATAAAAGAGAAAGTTACTTAGTACTTTCTCCTTTATATGGAATATAGTACATAGAGATCAGCCTAGGATGGTTAGTTTATTTATATATTTTAAACACCTATGCATCTGCCTGTATTTTAAGCAGTAAACATGAGTGGTACATTGATATTAAGCACAATATTTGACTTCTCAAAGAAACAACAGAGTTTCTTAGCCATAAACTTAGATTTGACATTTAACTATGGGAAATTGGTAAGGGAAGAGTACTGAATTCCAGGTGTGGCATGTCATCTCAGTGATTGCAATCACCTCTTGGGGCCTCATGATTCAGAATATGCTACAGGGAAGGAACATATGGAAAGAGGAGGTAAACAAGGGAAATCCCTTTGGCAAGGCTCTTCTCCCCAGAGTGCATCACCTGTTGACATCAGATACTGTGTGCTAGGGTGGGAGGTGGAGGCAATGAAATCTTTCACATGCACTGTAGTTTGTGGAGGCAAAAACAGATGTTGCTTCACTGAATATTCAAAGCATTTGTCCATTCTGTTTAAGAGTTCTACTGAGCAAATAAAAGGTTAATTCTGGACACACAGCAATTAGAATTGCTGTAGAAATTTCAAAGCATAATCCTTGCCCTCAAGGAACTTAAAATTAAGAGATGGAGGCAGATAAGAATGTAACTAAGATAAGATAAATATTTTCCACATTTTTCTTTACCATTTTACATGAGTAACACATATTTAATAACTATGCCTTCTGGGTTGAAATCGGCAAAGATTGGTTTCATATTGGTTTATTTTAATGCGAAACATGTAGAACAACTTATGCACAAAGCTATTTGGTCCAGTGCTATTTATAATGGAGAAACACTATTAATAACATCAAAGTAGGACAACATAAATGTAGACATTGTCAGCTCTATATCCAGAATAAGGCATGGTGCTGGGGAAGGGTTTGGGATCATTCCAGGTGCATCAGGCTAAGGGAAAATGGAAGAGAAAAGAGATGCTTCTACATTGGGTGGCAGGGACTGGGAACGGTGCTGTTATCTCAGGCATCTTAAGACCATCTGGTTCTGGTATCTCTTCCTGGGTTACAGATTGTGTGTAAATGACCCACAGGCACACAGGTGGGAAGGACTCTATTGAGCCTTCTGAACGACAAAGCAAGCAGTGTGTCTAATGGTATGTCCAAGATGCTGTGCTCTAGCATAGAAAAACAAGAGTTAAAATAACTTACTATTTATTCTAGGTGCATGTTCTCTTTCTATATACTGTATTCCAAAATTTTTCAAATGCTTTATTTAATAGATTTTTATTGATTTCAGAGAGGAAGTAAGAGGGAGAAAGAGATAGAAACATCATTGATGAGAGAATTATTGATTGGCTGCCTCCTGCATGCCCCACACTAGGGATCAAGCCCACAAACTGGGCATGTGCCCTGACAGGGAATTGAACCTGGATCTCCTGGTTCACAGGTTGATGGCCAACCACTGAGCGACATTTGCTGAGCTCAAACACTTTATTTAGAAATTTAATTTAAATGATTTGTTTACAAAGGAGCAAATGTGTTAAATCAATTCAATTATTTTAAGTAACTATGAATTTTGGACTTCTGTGATATTATTAAAGTATGTATGACCACAGCAGTGTCATAAAAAATATGTTATTTGTCCAAATGTAAACTTGTTTAATTTACAGTAAATAATTATTATAACATTATAATTACTCTCAAGATCAACATGACACCATAAATAAAAACAGTAAAGGGCAGAAGTTCTAGATTTCATACGAAATCATAGAATATTTCTCTCCTGATTGGACTTTAATTGGGGATATACAAGATTTTATTATTTTGTTTATAATTATGTGTTGTGTATGACCAGTGAAAGAGATTGTAAAATATCAGAAACTTTCCAAAAACAGAAGTTGGGGGAGGAGAACCAAAATAGAGGTGTAGGCAAACACCTGTGCTTGCCGCCTCCCACAACCACATCAAAATTACAACTAAAATACAGAACAACCATCATCCAGAATCGCCGGAAAGCTGGCTGAATAGAAGTCCTACAATAAGAGAAGCAAAGAAGAAAGCACACTGAAACTGGTAGGGGATGCGGAGGTGCAGAACAGGCTGGTCTGCCACACAGGTGTGCTGCTTTTTTAATCAGGAGGGGGATCCTCTCTGCTGAGGCCTCTGGGAGGAGCAAAAGGTCCCAACCCACATCAGACTCTCAGTCCAGGGTTTCAGAGCTGGGAAAAGAAGTCCCCACAGAGAGTAAGAACTACTGGCCATAAAAACCAGTGTGGATTGGGGCTCAGTGACACAAAGGCTTCTTGAGACCCAAGTGCTCCTCTTAAAAGGCCAGCACCATGAACTTAACTTACAAGCTCCTGCTTCCTCTGAGCTCCCATGCTGGGCGAGTCTCTGGGGGACCCAGAAACATATGAGGAGAAACTGGACTGTCTGGCATCGGAGCAGGAACTTAAGGGCAGCTTGATTTCAGAAAAAGATACTCACAGCAGTCGTTGTTCCTGTGCTGGAACCTTCACAGTGTCAGAGCTGACTGACAGCCATTTCTGTTTGCTCTGCCCTGGTGATTCCCTGAGACCCTGCCTCATCCAATTTATAACCCCATCCAAGCTGTGCACTGCAGCTTTTGCATATTAATGGTCTTTCCTTGCTTAGGCTAAAAACCTGTGAAAGAAGCTGCAGCTGAGTCAGGGAGCTCCAAACCTATCAAT